GGCGGAGGATCTTTGATAAATCGAGCCGGTACCTCATGTGGTATACTACTAATGGCAACTTTTGTCCTTTTTCTTATTCTTTCCCGACTTCCAAACATTACAATACGTCATGAAACATCAACAAGTTCGAGTAAACAGTGCAGAGGAAGCAACGCAAAAAAAAGAGGCATCTCAAGCCCATCACATTTTTGTGTGTTTTCCGGCGACGACAGCGTGTAAGAAAAAAAAAGAAAAAAAAAAAAAGTAAACCTCTCTAAACTCCTTTGTCCACTTCCTCCTCCCTTCGTCACACTGGCCGGCTTCCAGATTTTCCCCCAACTACTAGAGCACAGCGACAAGAGAGTACATCCAGCCAACGAGCCCATTGTTTTCCCTAAGAGAGAAAGAAAAAAAGAGTCACAAAAAGACAAGGGATGCACGACCAAAAAAGTTAAAAGAAGACGTTTGTTATAAACACAAGAGACCCAAGAAAAGACGACTGGGATAGAAAAGATACGAGGAAATAGCAGGGCTGTCGTTTCAATAATTGGATGAGTGAGACGCCCAGGCAGAACCCTATCTGCCGTTCCCTCCAAATGCAAAGTTACCAAAGACGCCGCCTCCTCCGCCCGGGGTCATGGGCCCCATGTTGGGCAGCCCGTTTGTGTTGTGGTTCTGCGCCGGGGTCGTCGCCAGATGCGCGGTGCCCGTGTTGGGCGTGCTGGGCGTGTTGCCGTTCTGCCCGCCGTTCTGGTCGCCGCCCTGGCCCATCATGGACATGGGCAGGCCAATGTCGGGGATGCCCAGACCCCAGACCTTGCCCAGATGATCGTCGGGGATCTCGCCGTTGAATATCCTGTCTCGCATCTGGAAGAAGACCTTGCCCGTGAGAAGCGAGTCCGAGCCCGCCTGGTGAGCGGAGCCGATGCGCTTAATCTTGAGAGTCTCGGCAATGTTCTCCAGACCCGACTTGTGCTCAAACTTTTGCAATATCTCCGCGGTGCCGGGGTCGCTGGGCGTGAGCATCCCCGAGTTGTGAAGCCTGATGGCGTGCTTCATCAGGTGCTTCACGTCGTACGTCTTGGGAAAGTATAGCTTCATCTTGTGGTCAAAGTCCACCTCGTCGTTTGGCAGAGGCGTGCAGATGAGCAGCTTTGTCAGGTAGCCAAAGTCGTAGCCGCCGTGGAAGGATATCCACCGGACATTGTCGAAGCATACTAGGCCGGACGGTATCAGCAGGGAGGCAAACTGATGGGGGTCAATTCCGTCACGCTCGAGCAGGTTAAAGTCGATGCCGGCCTGCTGAAGGGACTCGATCGATTTCTCATTGTACATGTCGTCTTTCAGGGAGAACTTGAAGTTGAACTGCCATGAATACGGAAACGGCCCTTGGCCAATGTGCCGCCTTGTTGCCGGGCTGAGGCCCAGCTCAGGGCCGGGCCGCGCTGGTGGTGTCTCTCCATCTTCGTTGAACAAGGTGATGCCAATCTGGATGACCTTGAGCATGTCCACGTTGGTCCGCAGACACTGGTAGTGGTAGTCGCTCTTCCCCCTGAAACCGCCCATGGGTCTTGCTACAACACCGGGGAATTCCGCGTCCTTTCAATTTCATCCTTGAGTTTCAGCACGATTCATCCTCCAAAACAGCACAACAACAGCATCATGGCAAACAATTGGGTTCGCAATGCGTCGAAACAAGGACTCACCATGGCTACATAGGGGTATTTGTCAATAATGTCTCTCAGCACAGCCATCTCCTCTTCGAGATTGTGTTTCCAGACTTCGCGTATCCTGCCCTTGTTGGACTGCTGGCTGCGCATTGTGGGATGATCCATCAATGCATTGTGCTGAACCTGGCCGCCGTGCTGCTGCTGCTGCGGCTGCTGGAGGGCTGCGGCCGCGGCATTGGGCCCATGCGCGAAGCCCATCCTCGCGCTCTGGCTGCCGAAGCCCGTGTCGGGGAAGCCGGCGGCGCCATTGAGGGCTGCGGCGTTGAACGAGTTGATGTTGTTGGGCGTAAATGGGTTCAGCTGGGCGTTGGCATTGAGGTACTGGTTTCCCAAAGGACCTCCCTGTGGCTGGCCGTGGGAAGGGAAGCCGGCTTGGTGGAAAGGCGCGCCGACGCCGGGCCCACCGCCGAAGGCCCGGAGCTGTGGTGGCATGGGAGCAGAGGCGGGCGGCGCTGGGATGTGCGGAGCGAGACGAGGCTGTGGCTGTGGCCTGGCAAACTTGCGACTAGCTCTGAAGCCTCTGAATGGTGTGGTCGAATGACTGGGAGTGCCGTTTCGAAAGGTTCGAGACTGAAGAAACCGAGGGGAGCGAGGCCGGACGTCGATATCACGGTGAGGAGGGGGAGCCGATGAAAAGTCGGGCGGGAGATGGAGCGGATGAGGGCTCTCGGAAAGAGATGCTTGCTCGACGGCCCAGCGGTAGCAGTTGAGCGGATCTTGGGGCGTAGGGTCGGCGGAGAAACGAGAATCTCTCCTCTTCTTCTTCGGATGCTTCCTGGGCTGCTTCTAACGTGACGTAGGGGGAGGGTATCCTGAATGTCCACGGCCTGGTCCGAACATTGGGCACGAGGGCTGGGGCGCACCGGGGAGGAGCTGGTTCGTGCCGCGGCAGGTCCGCTGTCGGCCTCTTGAGCGTCGAGACAGGGAGGAGAGACGTTCGGCGAGCGATGGCACCGGGGAGGCTGAATTTCCCCTTGCAATGTGCTGGCGTAGGGCTTTTTCTCCGCCTTGGCTGGTGTCCTCGATGCGGGATCGTTTGCGGCGGTCGATTGTCCTCGTCAGGTGGTCGATAACCGGAATATTCCTTGTTGTTGATTAGCGCTTCGTCAGAGGGACCCCAGGGAGAGAGGCGAGAGGGAGGCGGATCAGTACAGAAAGATGAGGCAAAGAGAGAAGAGACACGATCGCTGGTTGCAATTCCAGTCGTTCGCCTTTTGCAGGTCTTGGAGGAGGGTGACGGAAGCCACAGGCCAAAAAGCACCTACTACTAAGGTAGATACTTACCTACTACTGGCAATAGCCGGAGATGGCCCGTGCACCTCTCTCTCTCTCTCTCTCTCTCTCTCTCTTCCTCTCTAAAAAGGTACCTCAATGGGTGGAAGGTACTTCCTTGTTCGGCTGCAGCATTAATCCGGCCGCCTCGCCTCGACCTTGGCTCAGACCACCAGCAGCTCATCAACTGCGGGAACTTCGAGAGAGAGAGAGAGAGAGAGAGTAGAGCCGCTCGCTTTCCACTCCAGCGGTCCCTTTGTCGAGACATCACAACAGCTTTCCCACCGGCAACCATGCTTGCGACAAGGTATTTCCAAGCGAATTGGCTTGCTCCAGCGCTACAAGAGGGGGAATAGTTTTGTCGAGAAAACGAGTTGCTGACTGCTTTGTGTCTTCTTGCCGGCAGAGCACTGCGGATGGCCCACGGGCCCAAGCCCAACATCACCGGCTTCAACATGCGAGCCTTCAAAGAGGCCACCGGCCAGCCCCGATACGATCCCTGGGAGCGAACGTTGGTCATCCCTTTCCCATGTGTGCCCATCCCCTCTGGCAGGCCCCCCTTCCCTCATCACAAGTAGCGAGTTTTAGAAGGAAAAACGAAGAGATGTCATGACGAAGGAGGAAAAGCCAGAGGGGGGAAAAGCAGAGCGAAAATGAGAAATTAGTAATGAAGGCTGACAATTGGGAATCTTTCCAAACAAATCGTTATAGAGAGGCATGGCGATACCAGGGCACCTTTTCCAGGTGGAACCGCTTCAGGAGCGGCTTTCCCGGTCTGGGCATCGCGACGGTGGCCTTTGCCGGATACTGCACCTACGAGTACCTCTTCCTGAACGACGAGCACCACCACGGCGAGGGTCACGGCGAGGCGCACCACTAGAGAGTCTGTTATGGATGAGAATGGGAGGAGGGGGAGGGGGGGCTGGAGATGCTTTGCCGGGCGAGAAAGCTGTATGGCGAGTGCGTCATACGGAGATGCGCGAAGGGGAGAGAAGGGGAGAGAAAAATTGTATATATACCTCTCTTGGACGAGGAGGAGAATCCTTTGTCGGGGGTATGCGCTGGCAAAGGGAATCAAATGGCAAATATATATTCAACTTTCAAGCTTGCCAAACTGAATGTATGGCATCGCCATGATGAACCGGGACATCACTCACAGACTAATTTTCACACAAACGGCGGTTCCAGTCCCATAAAGACACATTGCTGTTCTTCTACTGGTAGTAAAAAGAGGGGTAGAGAACATTGGACCATTGGAGATATAAAGAAGAAGAAAAATTGTGTAATTCAATCATGTTTCCTATCATAATTCTACGTCTCTCATATAAAACGCTAGTTTTTTCTTTCTTTCAGTCTTTGCTTTCGGGATATGCTCCGACAACTGGGAGCTCCCTTCTCGCTTCCTTTTAAGAGCGCCCGTCCCCAGCTGACAAATGCCTTCTACCTTATACACCGCGTGGGAACAACGAAGGGGAAGTAAAGTGGAAAAAGGGGGGAGAGTGAGAGGGAGAAGCGAAGTATAAAAGGGGCGAGTGAGAGGGAGAAGCAAAGTATAAAGGGGGAGAGCGAGAGGGAGAAGAGAAGGAAGAGTGTGAAGATGAAGGGGGATGAAGATATCAATAGATGTAACAAGAAAACAAAAGTAAAGAGAACAATGTGTCGTCATGAGGTCGAAAAAAATCAAAGGAGACAAAACATTGTCCGACTCCAAATGTCATGCCAGAGCAACTGGTTTGAGAACACCGGCTATTTGTTGTTGAGAAACTGTGGGAGAAAAAGAGGAAAAAGACACCCAGACATGCCGAAAAAACAAGAACAGAGGAGAACTCGGATATGCAAAGAGGTCGCGCGTCATGTCGTGGGTATCTTTATTGCCCGACGCCGTTGACGACGTCCAGGACCTCCTCGACGGCCACCTCCAGCTCGCTGACCCTCTCCTTGAGCGTCTTGTTCTCGGCTTTCAAGAGGCCCACAGTGTCCCAGGCGATGCTGGCGTCCTGGCCCTGGCAGTTGCGGCACCCGTTGATGTCCCTGTTGGGGTCCCCGGAGATGCCCTTGAACAGCTTCTGAAAGGTAGTCATTTGCGGCGGCTGAGAGCCCCGGAGCACGCGAGACGGGGCCGGGCCATTTGCTCCTCCTCCAAAGGTGGATGTCCTCGACGGCGGGCCAGGCGGCGCAGGGCTTTCTACATCGGATATGACGCTTAGCGCCGTAAGGGTAGGGCTGCGAGGGCGAGAGAAGATGCTGGCAGCTTCGACGCTATCTTCATCCGTCTCGAAGCTGAAGTCGGTCTTGGAAGTCTCACCACTACGCCTCCATCCTCGCTTGCGCTGTTGCTGATCCTCCTCGACGCACAGGTCCTCGGATATCGACCCCTCCGACGGCGTCAAAAACTTGTCTCTGGCGTTTGCTCGCTCTTCCATCCGCAGCCTCTTCTCCTTGTTCAGCTCCTCCATCAGCGCCTGCATCACGCCCTCGGTGTCGGCCAGCTTCTGCGCCATGCCTTCCAGCTGCATCTTGAGGTGTCGCGTTCTCGTGTCGGCCTCTGCCTTTTCGTCGTCCTGCGCCTCCTTTTCAGCCATTAGCTCCTGGATCGTCTGCGCCTGGCGGTGGTAGGCAGTTTGAAACTTCTTCAGCAGGCCGGTTGCCGTCTGCTGCAGGTTCTTGAAGGCCGCCGGCGAGAAGGCCTGTCCGTCCGGCGGGGCGCCGTTGGGGAAGAGCGACGCTTCGATGTTGAGGTTGAGAAGCTCGTCGTCGCTCTTGGACACCACGACGGGCGCGGGGGCGAGCGCTTTCATGGCCGGCATCCTGGAGGCGATAAAGGAAAGGGCAGAACTGCGGACGGACGAGGGAGAGGAGGGGGAAGCAGCGGTATGGCTGTTGTTGTTGTTGCTGCTGCTGCTGCTATCGTTTAGGTCTAACACGCGTCTATCCTGACCGACTTCTCCAAGCGAGGTGCGACGCGTCGCAGAGGACGGCGGATTGCGGGAGTCTTGAGGGTGCAAAGAGGCTGGTGTCGAAGCGACGATTGACGATGTTTCGGGGGCTTGCCCGATCGGTAAAGGAATGTTGCTTGTAGTGTTGCTGGTGGTCGCGTTGTTTGCGACTTCAGATCGGGACCTCGAGTGGCCTCTAGGAAGCTTGGTATTGTGCCTCGGCTTCAGAAACGGCGGCAAGTCTGGACGGCCAGCGTGGTGGTCTTGATAGGAGATGGTGGTGGATTGGCGAAGAGGACTGTGGTTCTTTGGGGGGGAGGCCGGTCCCACAGCGTACAGGGCGTCTCTTCGGTCGACGGAGAGGCGAGGATTGCTGGTGGTGCGAGGCGTCGGGGTTGCTGTGAGTGTCGTCGCTGCTCGAGGTGTTGACGGGGAATCTGGGGCGAAGCTCAAGCTCGGTGAGAGAGGAGGCGTCTGAGTCTGCTGGCGCTGCTGCTGCTGGGCTGGCTGGTGCTGGTACCCCTGGCCGGGGGTTACAGTCGAGCTGCCCATTTGCCCGTCCAAGTGCCTTTGGCTGCGGTGTAGAGAGTCGGAGGGTGGAGAAGTGGACGGAAATATTGGGTCAGGCCAGCAGGTTGACCAGGCCCCCCCCAGTCGCTTTGCGATCGCTACCGATGCTAGTCGACTGTGTGTTGGCGTCTGTTCGCTTGAAGATTTTTCTTCCTTCCTTTGTATCTTTTCCCTGGCGCAAATGTCGGGTTGCGATGAATAGAAAAGAAGGGATCCTGCCTCGCTCTTGGCCTGCTCAAGGGGGGGTGAGAGCGAACAAGATTCGCTCTTCGTACAGGCGAATCTGGTGAGCCCCGGGTGACGATGAGATCAACAGGTTCAGGAACGAGACCCCGGCCCTCCTCTGTTTTCTGAGGTACTCTTTTCGAATCCGACAGTCGGCGCAATTCCGACAAGCGTCGATCCAGCACGGCGACAGTTATTCGCTCTCTTTGGGGGCGTTTCGACAGGATGCTCCCCACTGAGGCGCAATTCGCAATTCAGCGAGGGCAAAAAGGGCCGCGCAGACAAGAAGTGAATGTGTGTAATAATCCAGCACCCTGCTGTCAGTCGCTTGTATGTATGCCGGAACGAGTACGAGCCGTATGCAGCAGCTGTCTCGTGCTTGGAACCGTCCGCAAGTGTGCGTGGTGCGCGAGCGTGTGCCTGGATGTGCCTGTATGCAAACCTATGCAAACGTGCTTCCGTCCACGTCTGCTAGTCCCAAGGGCCCTGGACCAGAAGCTGCAGGTCGTCTGCAGGTTGCATGCACAGGATGCTGTGAACGGTGTAGCGGTCACGCACACGTCGCCTCATGCAGAGACGACTCCAGTCTTTTTTTTCTTCTTCCCTTTCTGCTTGTCCCTTGGCGCCGCTTGTTCGACCGCCTCGACGAGGAGGAGGGGTTGGGCTCCTTGTCCCTTTTTCTCTTTGCTTCTGTTTCTCCTCTTGTTTCTCTTGTCCGCCCAGCTGGGTTTATGCTGTTGCCTGTATGACGGCGTCCTGGTTGCCTCCAGCGACCACGACGACGTGTGTTTCAGCGATCCGAGACGGCGAGATGGTCACTGCCCGCGGGCTCTGGGGCCAAGATGGTACCTGTCTGTCTCAGATCCGCTCGAGGCTCGGCATGTGAAGAGGCCGGATTGGAATGGACTGCTGATACGCCGGACGTCAGCCTACTGTGCTCGTACAGTAAGGTATGGGTAGGTCGAGGCTAGACTTGCGATCCGAAGCTGGATGCCGTACGAGCATGGACGAGAGGCTTGTAGGGGCTAGTAGTCGGCAATGTACTCGAACGGAGTACCTGCGAGCACGAGGCATGCGGTGTGCACGTCCACGTATCACTTCGTGCTGGTTTGTACGACTTGTGCAGTGTATCACGCCCCAGCGTCGGGTGTCTTCCGTCTGTTTGTGATACTGTGATACCTTACCTTGCCTGACATGCAGGGACAAGCAATTCAGTGCTCCTGGCCGGTCCGTGGACCCATCTGCACACAGTCAGAACCGGTTGCGGCAAGTCGGTCAAGCAAGGCAGCAGATACGTAAGCAAAGAGCAACAATGTCATACTAGGTACGTAGGCAAGTACCTAGGTAGGTACTCAAGCGAAAGAGGCGGAAAGGAGAGAGAATATTAAAGCCAAGATGTTAAGCACTTTGAATGACAGCTCGTTGTGAATCGATGCCGCTTGTCAAGGCGAAAAGGAAACGGGCTGAACAGTGCAGGGCAAATGGTCAATGGAAGAAGTAGGACAGGGGCAGCAACGGATCTGCCTCTGGACCGCATGGCGCCCCTAATAGACGGGGCAGCGTCACAACGTGGCTGCCATGAGCGCTGCTGCATGCAGCCATCATTTTGATAGATAGCCCTCAGTCGACGACAGGAAATATGACAGACGCGAGCGAGGATACCTGCGCACACGTGCTACACGGTCACAACAGCCACTTTTTTAGCTTTTCAGCTGTGCTGTTCTGCTGCATCACGATGGATGATCTGGTAGGGAGGGGGTTGACGATCCAGTCTGTGAGACCCCATCACTGAATCCACGCCTCGGTATCGACGGGGTGGATTCAGAGGTATAAGACAACCTGACTCCAACCAGAGGTTGCGGACAGTTGTAGACTACCTATAGTAATGTTTATGTTTATATGTACCTATGTAAACCCGGGGAGCACAGCGTCGAATAACTGTCCTTTTGGGAGAGAAGAATGTCCTCCATTGATGCCTACCTAGTACCTACCTTGTTAATCAGTAATTGGTGCCTCATCGCAAGGAATATCCGAAGTCCGGACAAAACCAGCACCCCAGCTCCCCGACGCCTTACAGAGCAGTCGTTCCAGCGTACAAGTTACATGAGGGATGCTCAAGAGAACGCCTTCAGTGAAAGTAGCAAGTAAGAAACAAATACAAACAAGCATGAAACCGCGAATAAAAGAAGGAAAAGGCAGACCCCCATGCTATACCCTGCCACCAAAGAGTGCCCCTGCGCCCAAAGAAAAACAAGTCCTATACACCACCAAAGGTAGTTTCGCTTAAACCGAAATCAATGCGGCGTGTCCGCTTCAGCATAATTCACCAGATTCACACCCCCTTTTTACATCCTGAGACCTGTGAGCTTGCTCATCGCAATTCTACCGAAGGAAAGTACCGCGGTCCGGCGAACCCTCGAGTGATGACCGACTGGACGTCAATGTTGCTCCCCGGATCGTGGGATGAGCTCCACATCTTGAGCAGGATGAAGCGGCCGGAAACAGGTGGATCGAACTTGATGGTGCACTTGCTCTTCTTCTTTTCAATGTAGAAGCGTGCGTGGGGAGCGAGCAGCCGGCCGCCAACCGCGCGGACGGCTTCCTGCGTGGCATTGGCGTGCGCATCCATTGCCTCGGACAGCGAGAAGCTGGGCGTGTGCTCGTCGTCTTCATCTCTCTGCCTATGGATGATGTTGTGGCGGCGGCTGTGGTGGAGAAGCAGGTCGTCCGAGGTATCCTGCGGGCTGAAAGGCATAACGATGTCGTCTGCGTCCGAGTCGACGTTCTCAAAGGGCAGAGAGCCGATGCGGTTGGGCGTGTGGTGGAATCGTGACCCACCATAGCCGTCGTCATCGTCGTCCTCCTCATCGCTGCACTCCGTGGTGACGCGGAAATCCGACGTTTCTCGACTAAACTCCTCGGGCATCTCGGGTAGCCGAGACTCATCGTCATCTGGTCGATACACATAGGATCTTCTAGTCCTGGTGCTCGTGGTGCCGTCTACGTGATGCTGAATGGATACGATGTGCCGAGGTTCCCGTTCGAGGACCAGTGCATTGTCTCCGTCTGCATTCCGTGAACGCTGCCTCGATGACGGGGCATACTGGATCTGATATTGAGCCGTCCGGCTCAGCATGTCGTCCTGGTGCATGGTGATGAAGATCATGCCCTCTCGAACGCTGCGACCTGTGTTAGCGCAATGCTGAGTACAGAAGAGCGAAGAGAGTCAGGCTAGTCGCCTGGGTAGTAGAAACGTACGGATGGGAAAAGTTGGTAGCGCACGGTGCTTTGATGACAAGCTCCTGCAGCGTAAAGACACTCCCGCCTTGGTGTTGCAGCACAATGTTGCATCTGTTCCCCTTAGTGCAGTAGACGGAGTTGTCGTCCTTGAGGATGTTCTCCGCCGCATACGAAGACTGGTTGGAGAACATGCCGCCGTCGCAGCTCACAATCTCCATCCGCAGCTGACCCAGGTCTACCTGTCCATATCTGCCATAGCGAAAGGGCTTGATGCCGCTAGAGCCGAGGCGGTCGGCGTCCAGCTTGCGGCGCTTGTTCCGGCGGTTGTCGTCTGGGAAGTCGTGCGAGCGAAGAGGCTGAGGGATGGTGGTGAGGGCGGATTGCGTCAGGTCCAGCAGCGCCCTCAGGTTGGTGTTGGCCTCGTCGAGAGACCGATCCAGCTCGTCAATGTTGTTGGAGCCTCGGCCGTCTGCGGCATGAGCATGCAGGCGAGGCAAGCGCCGCATGGACCAGCGGCTACCGTAATCATATCGCTCGCCATCGCCGCGTGACGCCAGGCGGTCGTCGAGGTTTCGAATGCGCTCGGCTCTGCGGGCAGCCGTGGAGGAAGACCAATGAAAGCGCGGTGGTGAACGGGGAGCCGCAGCGTCGCGGCCCCGGGGCGAGTTGAGGGTGCGCAGCGGGGGCAGAGCCGACGGCGGAGACAGCGGAGGGAAGTCGGGCATCGACTCTCGCTGCCGCTGGTGTGGATTCGATCCCGAGCCCGACCACGACGACATGGCGGACAGTTGGCTGAGTCGTGCTTCGTATCAGACCCTGGGAATGACGTCGCCGCCAGTGAGACAGCGCTGGATAGATGTGAAGAACTGCGAGGTTCGAGAGATGCTCCGGCTTCGCGACGACGACGACGACGACGACGACGACGGTCAAGTCCTCAGGCAGGGCGGCGTGGTAGATGCGGTGCCGTTAACGATGGAGGTGCCAGGGTTTCGTGCGGTCGAGGTGGCGGCAGTTGCGATACTAGCACTGGGGAGGGCAGCGTTGGACGTCAGTTGGGCGGCGCTCAAGTGACCCTCGGACCGGGACTCCATAATTACCTACCTACCTAGTACCTCCTGCTAGAGTATTATTCTGGGCATTCGACTCGGCGGATGCTATCAGCCACCGCGGCTAATACCCAATACCTAGTGGTGAGGGCACCTAATAGGTCGGTAGACTGAGAGTAAGATGCGCGAGAGGGAACTGTGATCTTGTCAGGAACCGTTAGGAGACGGATATCTTAGGTAAAGCGTGTGATGACAGCAGCAGTCGAGGAAGTGGAAGGTAGGTATGTGAAAAGTAAGCGAAGGCAACAAAGAGAGGAAGAAGAGCACAAGGCGCCACCGGGAGGCAGTCTTGACTCATGTGAGGGGAATCACGGCCCTGATCAGCTCATCGTTCTCCGGCTTCTGTGGTTGTATCTCTTCCTTTTGGGGGGCCTCTGCCTGTCGCGCTTGCGGGCAGCACGGCTAATGGCCGGCCTCAGCTGCTCACTCGCACTCATTCGCTCGGGCACTCACTGGAAAATGAAGCCCGCAGCTGGTTGGCGGATGCAGACGCAGAAGCGGAAGCAGAAGCAGGAGCAGGAACAGGAGCAGGAGCAGGGGCAGAAGCAGGCAGAGATGGAAGTAGAAGCGATACGAAGAGATCGAAGAGGCAGCAGCAGAAGTCGAGAGTTGCTTTCCGGTGACTCAAGGCTGAGCTCCCTTTGCTTCGACTGGGTGGGACAGATGCGACGGAGGTTTGAGGAGAGTTGAGCACGGCTTGGGAGCCGGGAGACCCAATGGACATGTCGCCGACTAGGTACGTACTACCTTACCTGGTGAGCTAGAGGGAGCTGACAACATGAAGTGCACGCGGGGTCGCTTATTCTTTAGTGGGCAGCATGCGCTAATCCTGGCACTAAACTCGCGCTGTTCCTCTGCCTTGGCCACTGAGCAGAGCCATGACGGGCTCTTTTGCTGCGGTGGTGCATCTGGACAAGTACATATGTAATAGTGCAGCACAGTAGCATCGTCGGAGTCAGGGGAATGGAACAGCAGTTCGAATCATCGGTGCAGCACGAAGATGCAAGAGGGTCTGTCTCATCTAACGAAAGTTCTCCATGGCCACGATGGGCCGTTGGACTTCAAGGAGTCTGGTATGGCGAGCTGATGGCTACTTCATAGGTACGACCCTCTCAGATCGATGTCCTCATTATCGGTTTGATATCAAGGCAGGCACTTCAGCGACATCCCTTCAGAGCCGAGAGGAGTATATTCAAGCCTATAGTAAAGTCTACTTTGCCCATAACTTTTTATATAGTTTTGGTCCATCTCAGCAGTTATCTCAGTACTGCTTCTTGTAATTGGGATACGAGCACAGTAACCTGTTACATCGACTGTACTGTGTGTCGGCCTTGATGCCAATAGACCGCAAGAAAACTGATGAAAAAGGATGAACTGACTTGAGAACCAAGCAAGTTCGTTCAGACGCTTTTAGGGATACTATGATAGAAGTAATAACTGTGAATCTTACATCGAGTACACGTCTTTCCTTTACAAGAGACCGCCACGAAGCGCACGAATCGTGTCCCCAGACCTGCCGTTTGACGGCTACCTCAACGAGCAGCACAGACATCACCGCACCCGTGGTACCGCTCTAGCACATTTGACCCCTGCCTAGCGCCAATTCTCCAGCGCATCACCGCTGCACGGCCAAGGTACTTGCACACGCAAGGCTACGCGCATCCGATCCGCCTTGATATCCATCTTCATTCTTCTTCCTGCACCTCTCCGATGGCCAGAAGCGCTGTCAACGGGACAACTGCATCGCTTTCTGACGCTGGCTGAGTGAATGCGAGGCTCTGACGTGCTGTTAAGCACCAACTGAGCGCTCTTCAGGACCAATTTCACCCGCCCAATTCCTCTAAACACATCAGCTTCTCTCATCTCCAACTCGTCACCAGAACGCAGCCTTGCGGCATCTACAAACCTCGACCCTCACTCACCACCATCCCCGTCCGCTCACACTCGCATCTCATCGTACCTCACGAAATCTCACCACAATGGACCATCAACCAAACAATGGCGTCAGTGACGTCGCCGCAGCACCCATACCCGACCCCAACGGCGGCGTTCCTGGCCTGAACCCCGATCTCGCCGTGCCAACCTCCATCCCACCCATGATGACGATGCCCGGCCAAGGCTTCATCCCAGATCAATCTCTCGCCACAGCCGCCATCCCAGACGCATCCGCCACGGCTCCTCTCATGTACAGCAACGGCAACGGTGCCCTCCCCGACAAGGCCATCACAGCAGGTAAACACATCCCCCCCCCTTCATCCTTCTCATCTTCCGCTCCTCCTCCACAACAGCTCATCATCAACTCTCATCTCACAAAATCCTCGCAGATGAAATCGCCCTCTATGACCGCCAAATCCGCCTCTGGGGCATGGCCGCGCAGGCCAAGATCCAAAACGCAAACATCCTCCTCATCACCATCCGCGCCCTCGCCAACGAAATCGCCAAGAACCTCGTCCTCGCCGGCATCGGCTCCCTCACGGTGCTCGACAGCGCGCCCGTCACCGAGGCCGACCTGGGCGCGCAGTTCCTCCTCGCCGAGGTCGACAACCCCGTCGGCATGAACCGCGCCGAGGCCGCCAGCGCCGCCCTGCGCAAGCTCAACCCGCGCGTCCAGGTGCACGTCGACGCCGAGGGCGTCAAGGCAAAAGGGCCCAGCTACTTTGGCGCCTTTGACGTCGTCATCGCCACCGACCTTGACCCGGACTCGTTCAACCTCATCAACACGGCCACGCGCCTCAACGGCAAGGCCTTTTACGCCGCGGGCACGCACGGCATGTACGGCTTCATCTTCAGCGACCTCATCGAGCACGACTACGTCATCGAGCGCGACCTCGGCAACGTCGCCACCGAGCCGCGCCAGGAAACCCGCACGCGCTCCATCGTCAATGTCCAGACGAAGAAGGAGGGCCCCAAGACGGTCGAGTCCGTCACCAAGCGCGAGCTCTACTCCACCTGGTTCCTCGCCAGCGACGTCGCCGGCCTGCCCGACGAGTACGCCAAGTCCAGGCGCCGCCTGCGCAGCGTCACCCCGGCCCTCTCGTGCCTGCGCGCCCTGTGGGAGTTTATGCAGATCCAGGGCGGCCGCCTGCCCGGCACGCGCGAGGACCTCAAGCTCTTCACCCAGATCGCCACGCACAAGCACAAGGCCCTCAACCTCCCCAGCGAGACCCTGCGGCCCGAGTTCCTGCGCAGCTTCCTCCAGAACCTCGGCAGCGAGATCGCGCCCGTCACGGCCATCCTCGGCGGCCAGCTCGCCCAGGACGTCATCAACGTCCTCGGCCAGAAGCAGCAGCCCATCCAAAACATGGTCATCTTCGACGGCACCACCATGGAGGCCCCCATGTACCCCCTCCATCCCGAGGGCACCCTCGGCGCCAACCTCCTCTCCATGGGCGGCGGCAGCAGCGGCATCGTCGACCCCCTGACTGCTGCTGCTGCTCCTCCTCCTCCCAACGGCAGCGCAATGGTGATGCCCCCCACAATGGCGACGTCCATGGGCCTCGACGCCTCTGGTATGATCGTCCCACCAATGGATCCTGCTGCTGCCGCCGCCGCTCTTGCTGCTCAAACGCAGGGCATGCCCATGGGCGTAGACTTGACGGCTCCCACGACGAGCGCCAACATGATGACCTCGATCCCAGCTACTACTCAACCTCACCCTGACACCAGCGCCCAAGTCTTCGCATCGACAACTGGGACTGAAACAACCGCACCTACGTCTTCTTCCGCCGCGGAGCCGCAGGCACAGGTGAGCACATCCGACAACAACTCAACAACAGACGGACCACCTCAGACAACACAATGAGCATGGGGGGTTTCTTTCTAGAGCTGCGTTTTGCTCATTTCGAGGTCGCTCTGAGGCGAGTCTGCCTGCTAGAGCTCGTCGATGAGGAGTATTGCCGCAATTCTAGATCGCGGGGGGTGGAATGAGATATATGATACATAAAGATGGAGCATGAGATATACATAGGGATGGGAAAAGAAAGCATTCAGGATGATATAGCGGGCGATACGATCACGCATGTACTAAAAATGTAAGACAGACAGAGGGGAGGATAGCAAGAAGCAGGCGATATAACGCCCATCTCCTTCATACTTCGGATCTGATTGCACCAAAGAGGAGAAAAAAAGAAAAGCATCTGGGGGATATTGTACGTTTGAGTAGCTCAGGATACGTTCATACCTTAGCCGGCATGTAGTGACACACGCACGCATGTCGTTTAGCAATGTATGAGATTATCACAGGACACACACATCATCAAGTCCAATTTCATCACTACACGTTCACTTGAGGCGCCCAAAGATGGAGAGCACGAGTATATTCACATCGTCTCGAGGTACCGCATGTCCCTAGAGGAACAAAACAAAGAGGTAACAAGTTCATGATCCTTCTCTGATGTGGGAAATGCCATTCGCAACCAGAATGCAGAGAGTAAACCTTGGAAAAGTGTAAAAGGAATAGAGGAATCCACAAAAACAATACCAAACACCTCCTCCCTTCTATCACAGCCATCATCGTGGCGTCTAACGATCAAATTCCCTCCAAGTTTTGGTATCCTTGCCTTCCCTGTGCGACCAGCAAAAATGAAATGGAAAATAGAAAAGAGCATGAAAGACAAATAGACAGAAATGGCAAGTAAAAAAGTTGAGATCCCTATATTGGTACAACAAAACAGCAAGGGGAAAAAACGAAGAAAGCGTAGCTGGCACTGCTGTTTCAAGCTGAGGTGCAAAACCCCGTGCCGCAATGGTAACGCTACAGAATTGCAGGTACAGCAACTTGGCTGTCATAGTACGGCTCTGACGAAGACGTAGCGGGCACTGCTGTTTTAAGCCGAGGTACAAAGCCCCGAGCCGCAGTGGTAACGCTACAGAGTATAGGTACAGCAACTTGGCTGTCATAGTACGGGTCTGACGGGGATATCAAGCGCCCTCCGCTGGGGGTTGAGGCTGGGCCTGGATAGTGGCCAGAGCAGCCCCCCTTCGGGTAGTCTTCTTCCTCGATGCCGCTCGGCTTGGCTGCCTCGCACGACGGCGGGGGGAAGCTGGTTGTGAAGAGGCAGCAGCGGTTGTAGAGGCCGGCGTTTTGGCTCTTCGTGGCCGAAGACGTGACGCAGTGATGCCATTCTCAGAGGTCGAGGCATCAACAGGAGCTGCAACAGCAGCTGGCTCGGAAGGCACTGCCTGCGAGGGCGCTGGCTGTGCTGGCGCTAGCTCCGTGGGCGTTGGCCCTGCTGGAGCAGCGGCTTGCTCGGCCGAGACTTGCTCGACCGAGACGGTGGAATTCTCAAGAGATGTCGGGGGAGTTGGGTCGAGCTCCATGCCCTGAGCCATTGTGCGCGGCCGAGCTGGAGTCGAGGTGCGCGGGAATAAGGACGGGAGAGTAAAGGGCTCCGCAAAGCGTACAGACCAGTTGGGGTGAGGAGCCGTGGTCAGGGGGGCCGTGGCCTGAGAGTTTGCGAGGACGCCCTGAGGCGCTGATTGACCGGGTGTTTCCAATCTCTATCTGGAATCATTCTGGTCAGTTCCGGCTTCGCCTGTGCCCTGCTGATTGGCCTTGCTCCGCTTCCGGTGCTGGTTGACGTTCCAACCCCTAATTTGCGTCGGTCCAGACTTCGGAAGGGCAGCCGATGCTCCCGTCTCTTTGTGATCGTACGGAATGGTCTTCAGCTCCGGCTTGCTTGACCATGTCCGGTGAGCGGGCACTGGGGCGGGCTGTAGTTTGCGATATTTGCCGGTTCCCGCATCGGAGGAACCCGAAGGCGTAGACCGATGGCGGTGCATCGAGCCGGGGGCCCCTTGGGGTGTCCCGGGAGGACTCTGTCCCATGGGACCAGGCATTGGCTGAGGGTGGCCAAAGGTTGGCGAAGGCATCTGAGGCGCGTAGCCAGACCCAGGGCCAGACGGCCCCATGTAGGATTGCTGTGGCTGGGGAGCGGGCAGGATCCTGTCCTGTGCGAGTGGCGGCATGGGGCCCAGGGGCTCAGGAGCCGGGTAGCCATGGTGGTAGGGTCGTGGGGGACCAGGGGGGTAGTAGTTGTTCATGCCGTGAGGAGCCGGCCTCATCATTGGATCACGCAGCATGTCGTCTTGGACAGGCTGAGAACGACCTCGAGGAGGGCGGAGAGGCGGCAGTGGCTGCGGCGGCAGCGGTTCAGCAGAGAAGGGCATCCTGGGGGGAGGGGGAGGCTGCGGGTAATGCTGCTGCTGCTGCTGCTGCTGCTGCGGCGGCGGCGGCCCCTGTGCCTGCGCCATAGCTGGAGATGGAGGGGGAAGCTGAGCCGGCGGTGGCGGGGGCTGCTGAGACCAGTAGCCATGAGAGTATGGCGCGCCGGGCCCCGGAGCCGGGGGAGCCTGCGCTTGCATCATAGCCGGCGACGGAGCGGGAGCGGGAGCTAGAGCGGCCGGCGGAGGAGGAGGTGCCTGCTGAGACCAGTAATGAGCATAACCCGCAGCGGGTACTGGAGTAGGGGGAGCCTGCACTGGCGCCGACGCTGGGGCAAGTATGGTACCTTCAGGGCCATAGTGTGCCATGCGACCACCTGCGTAGGGGGGGTCGATCGGTCGAATAGGCCCCATGGGCGCGTCTCGAGGAGGAGGCTCGGGCATGGCATAGCCGCTGTAGGTGTAGTATGCCGCCTGGTGCTGCTCCTGAGCAGGCTCAACGGGGACATGCTGCGCGCTAATGGGGACTTGGCTCATCGGAGGAGCAACGGGCGGCGCATCCTCGCGATGGACCCTCATCTCGGATTCCGCCTCTGGCATTGCCGCATGAGAAGTAGTCTGTGCCTTGGTGGCAGAGCCCTCGGGCTCTCGCAGACGAGTCTCGACGTTGCACAGCTCAGCAAGGAAATTGAGGTTGAGACTGTTCGTCTCGGCAGCAGGCGCTGGGGCAGGTTTCGAATCCGTGAAGACATCTCTAATGGCATCATATCGTGTGGCCTTTGGGGCAGGCGGCGGCGGCGCAGCTCGCGTGTTCAACTCGGCCTCGACAAACGCAGTCGCGTAAGTAAGGACAGACATCGCGGCAAGGTTGCCACCTTGCTGGGGAGGCTCGGTGACCTCCTCCTCTGTGGAGACTTGCTCCTCTGTCTCGGGCGAGGTCTCGACGGCCTCGGGGATGGACTCGAGCTCCTTGACGGCTGTGCCCAGAGATCGACTGCGAAGCTCCTCCTCGGTGGGCAGATACTCGGTGACGGCGACATCCTCGAGGGGGATGGTTTGCAGCTTGCAGAAACGCCGCATGGCGGCATTCATCCTCACCCTCACCGGCTCATCAACCACGCGACGGTCATTAACCGTCCGCTGGAAGGAGCGGGAGGCGTGGGAGATGCGGCCAGAAGGCTCAGCAATGAAGACGACCGGCTTGCCGGGCATGACGTACGGCTTGGTTGGCTCTTGCTGGTTGGTGCTGGTGGGCAGGAAGACGCCGAAGCGGGGATGGAGTCCATGCTTCTTGACGAGCGCCTCGTCAAAGTCAGCTGGGGTGGTGTTGGAGTAGTCGTAGCCGTTGCACCAGTAGTCAAAGTGCATGCCGTTGCTGTCCGGGGTGTCGAGATATTTGCCTCGTTTGGCGTGCGTGTGGCCCTTGGAAGAGTCGTTGGTGCTGTCACGGAAGCCAATCTCATGGTCTTGAAACGAGAAGAGTCGGGGGACGACAAGGCGACTGTTAGCGCCCCTCTCCTTCGCCGAGGGCTTCTGATTGTACGTGCGGCAGCCGTACTCGTCAGGATCCGAGATGTTCTTGGGCAGGGGAGGGCTTCTTTCATGAGCCCCGAGCTTGCTGTCGGATCTGGCGACAGCAACGGTGGTGGCGCCATTGGGAGCAATGACGGGCTCAGGAGTGACAGGACCAGAGTCCTCCTCCACAGGAGCACCGTCGGTGTGAGATTCAATCTCCGTAGCCAGGAGACCCTTGGCGGGAGTGATGGGGGTGGTGGGCAGCGGCTGGCTTTCAAAGTTGCTGCGAGTCGTCTTCTTGACTGCGGGCTGGCCCTCGGGCTGATCTTGGGCGCGGCGCTTGGCACCACCTCGGGCGCGGCCGCCTCTTCCTCCTCGAGTGCCAGAAGCAGCCGCAGCAGCCGCAGCCGCGGCGGCGGTGGCAGCCTCGGCATCCCGAGCTCTTTGCCACATCTCCGTGCCCTCGACCCGCGAGGGATAAGGGACAAGGTGGCCATCCTTGTAGCATTCATAGATGCCAAATTCAGTGTCGAGCTGGTGATCAGTGATGACCTTGTACTCATACTGGTCATCGGCGATCTGGAAGCATCACCGTGTTAGCAGCAGCGTCTTGAAGAAGGGGCCTGGGACGAGGCTGGAATAGGCTAGGAGGGCGGAAGCCAAGGGGGGGTTGTCGATCAGGGCATGGCAGGGCATGACTAATAAGGCAGAGCCAAGATAGGTACTTACGTCGACTGGGAGATCCTTGGAGCGTAGCGAACCAATGATGCGAGCACGGTTCAAGTGGCCATCAAGGAACCGGTCCGCAAGGTCTTCATAACCAAGCTGCGAGGAGAAGATGTGTTAGTATTGAAGAGACAAAAAGGGGACGAGCGGACGAGGAAGGAAGTCATGATAGGGTTTGCTCTTCGTTGAAGAGGGTCAATAGAAGCATGAACCGTACCTCAAATTCCTGCTCCGCGACATAGACGGAGGAGTCGTAGGTCTCCTTGGCGAGCTGCGTCTTGGCCTGGAACTGGCGTTCAAAGAGGGCAAGCTTCTGATTGAGGCGTTCCTGAAGCTCGGCGGTAGCCTCGTAGTCGTCGAGGTCAAAGTTGCGCAGGACCTCGTCGATGGAGCGATCGGCCAGCTCCTGCAGGGCATTCTTGATGGCATACGAGACGGTCTGGTAGGTGGCCTTGAGATCTCTCTGGCGTTCGTAGGCGGCCTGGACGCGAGAGTCGGCGAAGCTCTTGGCTCGGCCTCTGCGAGTGCCGCCGCGGCCAGACTTGTTGTTTGCTGCTTTGGCAACGCCTGGAGCAGCGTTGTTGGAGGCACCTCTGCCGCCTCGGCCTCGACCAGCCCGACCACCGCGCCCCCCTCGGCCACGGCCACGGGCAGCGGGTTCCCGCTCGTTCTCAGCAGCCATGGCGAGAGACGAGGGAGAGAGGGCGAGTGAGTGCGTGCGTGCGAGGGTGGATGATTTACGGGGTCCGGGGGTGTTGTAGGGGTACAGAAAGGGTGCAGGAACAGGCGTGGAATAGGTGTAGAAAAAGATGTCAGTGTAGAGCCGGGGGTTGAGGCCAGCGCCAGGTGAGTAGGTAAGCTGGGAACAAAAAGAGCACGCGCGCCGCGGTGCCGAACAAAGATTGATCAACGACGACGAAGGTGCGAAAAGGAGGGAACGGGAATGGAAGACAGGCCGGAAGAAATCAAAGACGGCCCTGGTCGTAGATGGTGGTGAAGGAGAAGAAGAAGGCGAAGGAGAAGAAGAAGAGGCCGACGAAGAAGAAGAAGAAGCAGAGGAAGGAGAATGAGCTGCTTTGTGTGGTGCTGATGATAAGTGAGTGCAAGGCGAGGTGAGTTTGGGACAGCCCGCCACAAACAGTGTTTGAAGGAAAAAAAGGGCCTGGCTGGCGGTGCTGTAACCTTGGGCCGGCGCACAGGGTACCGAGTACGTGCACCGCACGCCGCCAAGGCTGGGGAGTACCGCAGCAGGTACCGCGCACAGTGCGGCTCCCTGGGGGAACCTTAAAAGTGAAGAGAAACTGACGCTGAGCTGACTGCGATGTGTGCTGCCGCTTGTACTGCCATAGGCTGGCGATGAGAGCAGACGGGGGGGCGTTTTCCGTCTGGTCTTTTCTTTTTGGCGAGAGCTCGCTCGCGGCTCCGCAACAATAGCAGAGAGAGTGCGGTTCGAGGCTATTGAGGCAGCGGCGGAACAATCAGACACGCAGCAGGCGGGCTGAGGTTGAAAGAAGCGAGTGCGCAAGGGCAAGCCGGGTGAGCACGATGTCAGTCCGAGGAGCTGGACTGAGGGTGTGCGAGTGAGAGAGAGCGTGTGTCTCGGTCAGTCTCTTGGCACACAAGAAGCGCGGGACTGGCTGCAATATATAAAGCAAAGAGGTAGGTAGGTGATTGGGTAGAGGTAGTAGGTAGGTAGGTATGGACTGGAAGAGGAGGACTCGAGAAAAGATCTGGTGCTGGTGCTGGTGCTGGTGCTTTGGTGCGGCCAGCCAGTTCAAGTCCCTTTTCTGGACCCCCTCAGCCTTGGCCCCGGCCCAACCGCCCTTTCGCACTGGGAGGCGCCGCAGTGACGGGCGTCACTCGCCGGTACCGAGAACCTCGCGCAGCAGCCTCGCAGCGCAGCGCAGGACCTGCCAGCGACTGGCGGCGCGGCGCCCAGGCACGGCCGGCTAGGCCCGATTGGGACGCAATGGCCTGCCTCCGGGCCCTCTGGTTGGCGCGGACGAGGTGAATCTCCGGCTGCCGCGCTGGGGTTGGACCGCTGGGGGTGGGAAGGGGAGCTGCGGTGGCAGCAGGTACCGGTGACTTGCAGGGAACAGGCGAGGGGAGACGAGAACGGCTCTTCACCGCACAGTGGAGCAGCGATTTGACAAGCTTGGGTTTCAAAGGCGCTCTCGCCTTGTGGACGAGAAAGCGTGGGCGAATACAGGGCGAGTGGGCTGAAATTGCCAGGGCTTTACTCAATCTACCTACTCCAAGGTTTGATGCTGTGGGAGCTAAGGTGCTTGAGCCTTGGAGTCTCTACAGGTACCACCTACTACGGGCACTAGGCAGTAGGTAGGTAGGTATATCTGCTCACGATGGCTACGTGGTCGTGTGGCGAAACGTGGTTGAACATGGCAGCAGAGGGGGAAGGCCTCAGTTGGACAAAGAGACGGGCAATTGTGTGCCGTACGGACTCTACAGACTACCTAGCCATGGCCGCTACAGCCGTAAAGTCCCTGTCTTGCGGCTGTCAACGTATCGCTTGTTTCTCTTTTGGTAACGAGAGGGGAAAGCCTTCAACTTTCCCTTCAGTAGGTACATGTAGGTAGGTAAGGTAGGTAGTAATGCAATCGCCCTGTTCCTCCTCCAGGCAGACCGGCATGAGGGCAACGGACAACAAGCCCGTGATGTCACTCCCAACAAAGCATCTCCATCTGATACGTGTACAAAGTCTCCTACCTGCACATCGTTCCATCTCGTTGACCAGCAGAGAGAACCCCGGACAGCGGCCGCAGCCATTGAGGTTCATCCAACCATCCATGTAGCATCCAGCAGAAACACGCCATGGTGCAGCTGCAGGCGAGCAAACCAATGCAGCTGGTGGCACACCAGATGTGCCAAGTGCTCGCCTGTCCGCCCGGTCCCCTGCTGCAGGTTGGGCACGATACATTGTGCCTCCCATCTGCAGGGCAAAGCCTGATGCCCGCTCGTCTCTTTGGACCAAGGCCACAGTGTGTGTGTGTGTGTGTGTGTGAAGACACTTGCGGTGCTAGTACCTCTTTTGGGTTACTATGTGACCAAGCCGCAAAGTCCCGAGAAGCTGCACATCGCCATGGAAATAGCCAGATGAATGAGGTGCGTGTCTTGCGGAACAAAACCAAAAAATGTCACATTGAGCTTACTACCTTTCGTCTTCATCTGTAGGTACTAGGTAGGGCACCTGAGATGATGATAGTAGATGCACGTGCAGTGATGCGTCACGCTGGCCTCGTAGGAGCGACTAGCGCAGAAAGTCTCAGACAGAAGGCATCATTAGAGGAGAAGAAGAAGAAGAAGAAGGAGAGAGGCAATTCAAGGAAACGCAGCAATGCCTGCAAAATTCCTGACGATGGATCTTGTCCAAGCATCTCGATCGTGTGCACACCGGTTTCTCTCCCCCTCCCTGTTCGAGATTCTTGAGCGGCTGTGGTTTTGCTTTGCAGCCCGTTGCGCGCTTCGGGTGGCTCGCAGGCCGCAGGTACGAGAGCAGGTACTTTGAGCGTAGCGGCAAACAGGTCCGCCGTCTCCACCAGCCCGAAATTGCCTCTTTGGGCCGATAACAGCCAAGGGGAGAAAACGGGCGACGGATAAGGCACTGCTAGCTGCGCTTCTGTTAGTAGTGGGCGAGCATCTTCTTCAGCGCGTTGCTTTGTCCGTCCACACTGAAAGTTACCTACTATACCTTACCTAAGTATATACCTAGAGACAGCGACTCATTCCATCATTTCGTCTCTCTTCGCCGTCTGATTCTCGAAATCATTCTTTATCAAGATTTGTATCCATACACTGTTTTCTTCTCTCTCTCCTTTCATCAACTCTCACATTGAGCCCGTCCCACCACGATCGACCGCCATCTGCAGCAAGCGCTGTAATGTACATTCTTAGGCACTACCTACGAGGCCGGGGGTGGTTTTTGAACAGTCCTGCAGCCACTATTTTTATCCGTAACTGTGGCATTAGACCTGGCTCTGCTAACATAGCCTTTGTCTTATTTTATAGAGAAAGTCTAGATATTAGAACAGTATTCCCTACCAAAGAATAATAGGAAACAGCATTGCAACATAATTTCAGAGAGCTAATAGTATAAGATCGGTAACAGAGCGACCTTGTGTATAAATATGAAAAGGTCTGTTAGCAGAGCCTGCTCTAATGCCACAGTTACGGACAAAAATAGTGTTCAAAAACCACCCCCGGCCTCGTAGGTAGGTACCTTGGTAGGTAGGTACTAGTACTGTACACACATGTCTTGCGTGAGGTTGCCTTGTTCTGTACAGTACCTACCTACTGTAGCGCAGCGCAGCGCAGGTGCTCCGCAAAAGATCAAATCGTGTTAGACAGCCCTGGAGGCTCCAGCTCGCTCCAGCTCTCTTCCTGATCCCAGATTTTAGCGCCGCTTGACTGGACACGGCCCCTAAACTGATTGCGCTTTTCGGGCCTCTGCCGCTGTAAGCCCCGTCGCTGATTGGCTGCATGGCCCTCGTCCGCTGCCGCCATCCCGCCCGATTAGTTGCACGTGAGATCTGCCTTTTCTTGTGCTTGTGCCAGCGTTCCTTCTTGTCCCTCTATTTTCCTGCTGTTGCTGTTCTTTGCTTAGATAATACTACTATCTGATAACCTTTTCTGTAGACTTTGGGGCTACGACGCCATTAAAGTGGCCCCGTTTCGGCTCGGCATCTACTACCTACGCAGTACATGCCTACCTAAGGTACAACATCTTTTTTTCTTATCGCCGCCTCACTCCATCCGAGTGTATAGCTCTACTGCAAGCATTGTTCAATATCCCAACAGATCACACTGCTTCTCTATTAGAAACCAGCCCAATTGCTGAGCTGCAATCCATCACAGCATTTATCAATGGCCAAAAGACGAAAACTCGCGCGCCAGCCCGCGCCACAGCGACCCTCCGGACGCCCGCAGGCCAAGGACAAGAAGCAGCCGAAGCCGCCTGGAGCAGCAAAGAAGAAGCAGCAGCACCGGCAGCAGCAGCACGACGAGCCCGTCATCCCCTTTAGCCGGCACGACCGCATCCTTCTGATTGGCGAGGGCGACTTGAGCTTCGCCGCGTCCATCATCGAGCATCACAGATGCACAAACGTCACGGCCACGGTGCTGGAGAAGGACCACGCCGAGCTGGTTGCAAAGTATCCCGCCGTGGACGCCAACATTGCCATCATCAACCGCCGGCCGGGTCAGCATGATGATGACGATGATGTTGCTGCCGGTCAATCGGATGCCAAAGACGGCGATGTCGCCAAGGACGAGGACAATTATGAAGACGAACAAGACGACGACGACGACGACGACGACAATCATGATTCCAAACCACCCACCATCACCAATAAGCTCATCTACAACGTCGACGCAACCAAGCTGCCCCCCTCCGTCGCCCGCGTCCCCCACGACCGCATCATCTTCAACTTCCCCCACGTCGGCGGCAAATCCACCGACGTGAACCGCCAGGTCCGCTACAACCAGGAGCTCCTCGTCTCCTTCTTCCAGCGCTGCCTCGCCTCCGCCGGCGCGCCCCTCGCCCCCGGCGGCTCCATCGTCGTCACCCTCTTCGAGGGCGAGCCGTACACCCTGTGGAACATCCGCGACCTCGGGCGCCACGCCGGCCTGCAGCTCGAGCGGAGCTTTCGCTTCCAGGCCGCTGCGTACCCTGGCTATCACCACGCGCGGACGTTTGGCGTCGTGAGGAACAAGAAGGGCGAGGAGAGCAGCGGGTGGAAGGGCGAGGATAGGGCGGCCAGGAGTTTTGTGTTTATGAGGAAGGAGGAGCTGGAGGGGCAGGCGAGCAAGAAGCGGAAGCGGGCGGGCGACGATTCTTCAAGCGACGACGACGACGACGATTGAGTGATGGGATCTCTCTTTTGGCGACACCACCTCGAATTACTGTACAAGCATATACCACGGATGTAATGGGTGTATTGAAAAGGCATTGTTGCACGTATACAACTGGACGGGCATAGACGGTATCCAAGGCAATCTAACAGGCAATGGCGTTCTGGCTGGGGCATATTGTGGTTTTTTTCATAGTCCTCATCTAGGTAACAGGTTGTGGAATGAATTCAAGCTTATTCGCTCGACCACTAAGATTCAAAGGCAAGTAAAGCTACAGCCTCAATCCTTGTCAATCATCACTCCATCTATTCATCAAGACATCCACGCTTCGCTTGAGTAGTTCCGTCTCTAAAAGCAAAGCACAGCCTGATATAGGTACTCACACCTTTGCAGGAGGCGCTCACCTCGCTTCGACTCACCAAACTCACCATCAAATCTACCCAAATCTCCCCGACCCCAAAGTCCGAAAGCCACACTCACACTCCCATCCCCAACCCAACCTTTCCCTAGGTACGAAAGCAAAACAACACATCCAGGGCCAAGATACCTCTCATCACTGCCCAACAACCACCACACCCGCTGTATAAGCACAATTCAAGAAAGCAATCTCTTGTCTATCATGTCCCAAAAAAAAAATCCTAATATCAGCACCTTCTCCTTTTCAAAGACCTTGGGTAAAATAAGAGGGCAGACGTGGCGTATCAAACAACGTCGGCCTAGGCATAAAAATTACACGGCCCCCAAAACGCCCCCCCAAAAAAGCCAACCAAGCCCATTATTTCCTAACCAAGACATTCCACCACACACACACACGCACACAGAGGACTGGAATTCCCCTTATGGCAAATCAATCACCCAAACGCCTCATCTCACACAACCCTTTCAATAGTCCCAAGCCTCAAAAAAGAAGAAGAGCCTTTATAAGAAGTCGAGTGTTCTTGGAAGCAGAAGAAGAGGAAGAAAGAGATGAAGTTCCATTTCAGATCCGTTATTTCACGTCCACCTACGTCAGATCCCTCACTCACACACCCCCTCCCCTCCCCTCCCTCCGCGCTGCCCCTCTCCCCCTTGCGCCTCTGCCCCCTTGTTTTGCTGCCAAGATATCGTCGTGTAGGTAGCTCATCTTTCCCTTGTCTGTACCTTATACAAAGGCCAAGCCGAAATACCGATCCAGGTTGCCCCAATTACACAGGTCCCCAAATTATAATTAAGAACAAATATAAGTAAATCCCTTTTTTTGGTTGCTTCCTAGAACTCATAAAAGCGTAGATATAGAAGGAGATTAAGAAGAAAGAGTCCTGCCAAATAAACCGAGAAAAAGAGAAAAAAGAAAGAGAAGAAGAAAGATAATCGAGTAAAAAAAACGTGAAGCGCATCCCCTCCTCTCCCTCTCCCAACAAAGGGGGGAGTGGACAGAAAGAGGGGGTTATTGGTATTCAAATTACCCCAGCGGAGTAAAGAAAATAAAGGGCAAATAAAGAAGAAGTAAAACCAGAGGGGAAATATGGGGGAATCAGTGAAGAAGGAAAAAGACCTGTATGGTACAATGCAGATTCTATCGTGACCCCTAAACTCCAAAAAGAAGTAAAAAAAAAAGACCAGAGCTTTGTGCATTAACTGTAATATGTGCAGTCCAGGATGGCCGCAAGCAACAAGGCCACGCCGCCGCCAGAGGCAGGCCGTGGCTTCAATGGCCCAACAGCTCCTGCTGTCGGGGCTTGCCGTGTTCATCCATGGACGTCTGCTGTCCGGCCGGACCATCCAGGCTCGGCCGCGAGACAGTCTCCTTGTTCCTCGCCTGCTCTTCTTCGTCAAGGCGCTGCGCTTCCTCGTTCTCTCGCATCAGGGCCTCTTCTTGCTCAAGCAAAGCTTGCTTCTCCGCCGTCCGAGTCGCACCAGGGTTCTCTGGTGGAGGTGGCGGGGGCGGGGGCGGAGTGGCTCCGTCTGCTCCATTCTCCTTTACTCTCTTCACGTCGGGTCCGTCAAGCGGCGAGCTTACAGCGACATCCATGGCCCCGACATCACGCTTCCGTTTACGGTCAGGGCCCTCGGGGGAATCATCTTCCACATCACTAAGGACGATGTCCTCCGCGACGGCCTCTGCCTCCTGGGACGAGACGATGGGACTCTCGCCGGCCTTGTCAGCGTCGGGAGTTGGCTTTCCGTTGGCGGCCGGTTCTCTGCCGTCCTCGCCCTTATTCGTCGTCTCGGGTGCCTTTCGTCTATGGTGCGCCTCATACTTGGCTACTGCCCGGTCCAAGAAGTCCTTGACATACTTCTTAATGTTCCGCTCCTGCTTTTCAGTGAGAGGGGCGGCAGGGTCATTGACGCGATTGTTTTTGTAATCGGACGCCACGAGCTTCTTCGCAACATCTTTGCCGAGTCGCTTGAGCTCTTCCTTGGGCAGCTTGTGTCGGAATTTGTCCAAAACATGCTTGACGGGAGGGTAAACCTACGTCGGACGAATGTCATGTCAGTATTTAGAAGCAATTCAGAAGGGCCCTTTCCACAAGATGACGTACCGTGTGTTCGTAAATCTTCATCTGCTTCTCAACCGGCAAAGACCGCCACTTATCCTTCTTAGCCTCCTTGGGAGAGGCCTCAACAGGTGCTGGAGTCTGAGAAGCCGGCTGCTTCGGAGTACCCTCTTTGGTGACCTTGTCAATAATGCTTTGGATGAGAAGCTGCTCTTGCAGAGCCTTGGACGGAGCCTTGGCCGTCTGTTCTGTGGCCGGCTGGGTGGGCCGCTCCCAGGTCGATTTGCCCTGCTTATTGTAGAAATACGTATTACCGCCGGCATCCTTGGCAGTAAACCATCCCGCAGGAAGAGAGTTGTTGTTGTTGCTGTTGTTGCCGTGAAACGGCCTACGCTGACGGTGGCCGTTGTTGTTGAAGTATGAGTTGTTCCTCTGTGGGACGTTGCTTCGCGGTCCCTTGGGGGCGTCAATGGGTCGCGGAGACGCTTTGGGCGTCTGCTGAGCGGCCGCAGCCTCTTCCTCCCGGGCCTGTCCTCTTCGCTCCTCGAAATGGTTCTGCATCGGCGCGTTGGGGTCGACCTTTCGCCGTCGTATTCGGTAGGCGACCTCAAGCTTGCTCCACTCGTCGAGGAGCTTCTTGGACTGCGAGGCTACGTCTTCATGCTCGGATTCGGCCAGGGTCTGGATCGTCGCCTCGATGTTGGAGTCTTGGATCTTGTTCCTCGTCAAACGGGGAAACTTGTCCAGGATGGACAGAACTTGCAAGACGACGTTGTGATCATCAATGAATGTGTTGAGAGTCGTCTTGAGGATCTGGTACGCATGCATGCGCATCACGCAATGGATGACGCGCTCCTCGTCGCAGCGTTGGATTCGCTCCAGCAGCTTGACCGCAATCCACTTCTCCTTGCACTGCATCAGGGTGGCCATGACCTTGCGCGCATCGTCCTCGGTCAAGCTGCGAGGCTGTATGCTGTTGACATACTCCTCGTCATCCTCCTCGGGGCGCTTCTTGCGGAGCTTCTTGGGAACCTGCGTGTCCCAGCCATCGGCACCGTCGATGCCCAAAGCCTCGACAGTTGCCGTGGGCAGCTTGGTGGCGCGCTCCGTCTGGGTCTTTCCTCCGATGAAGCCGACGCAGTTGGCCTCTCCGCAATAGCAAGGCTGAGGCTCTGCGCCGTAGCGGTCGACGTTGTAGTTGAAGACGAGCTCTTCGCCCGCTTGGATCTTGCGCAAAGCGAAGATGCCCATGCGCAGCTTGTCGCCAACCACCCACTTGTCGACGAAACAGTTGGGGCTACATGAGTGGTTGCAGAACCGTCCCAGGTTGCCCTTCTTGGTCGCATCTACAAACTCGTTCTTGTTGAGCGACATGAAGTAGAAGTGCTTGATGCCCTCCTCGTCATACTGCAACATGCGTCGCCGGAAGGTCGGCTCATTGATGACCTCCCCGATGTACTCATAGATGAAGTCATTGGGCTCCAGCGGGGAGTTGGCGCGGAGGCCAAAGCCCTTCTTCTCCGTCTTGATGACGGTCACGTCTGCGTACTGTTTACGCTGGAACCGTCGATTCTGACAGCCACCACCACAGTTGGCAGAATCAGCGCTGCACTCCATCTTGGTCGCGCGATTGATGCAGTCCGAGTCTTCACCGCAAGCGAAGTTCTCGCCATCTCCTGCTTTGCTGTCAGTCAAGGAGCCCAAGGGACAGAAAAGGACAGCTGCGGTAAACAGAAAGACCAATGGAGAAGAGCAAGAGGCAAGGTGGGAGGGAAAGGTCACATACGCCATTCTTCCCTGCAGTCGCAGTCGAGGGCGTCACTATCCGTCGAGCCCAGATTCTTCGATCCATAGAGACAGTCGGGGATGACCTGGAACGTTGCGCACGACTCGGCCGTGACGTCTGGCAGGTGGCTGTACAAGGGCACCTCGCGGGCGACGGGCTTCTGTGACAACTTGCGCGACAGGCGCGCCGGCTTGGTCGCCACCGCCGTCGTCGAGTTTGGGGTTCCGACGCTCTCGCTCTGCGACTTGGAGCCGTCGAGGGAGGCGGGAGACGGGGCTTCGCTGCTCTGCAGCTTCGGGGTGGCGGTAGAGGCTGTCGCTGGGGCGTCCGAGTGTGCGCCGGGCTCGACGCCGTCCTCGAGCTTCACTTGTTCCATTCTGCTCGTCGTGTTCTCCTCATCCTCCATTTGACGTCCTGGGCGGGAGCGCGGCTGCTGCGAGGCAGGGCAAGCGGCGTTGCTCTTGAGACAGCAGAGATTGGGGATATTGGGTCAAGGGCAGAAAATTAAAACGCGAGGCCAGGCAAAAGGGCGTCGCGGTAGCAGCCTCCTTTCTCTCTCTCTCTCTCTCTCTGTCTGTCTCCTCTCGCTCCTCTCGCGCGCACGCACACACACACACACACTCTCTCTCTCTCTCTCTCTCTCTCTCTCGCTCGCTCGCTCTTCTCTTTTTTCCTTGGCCTCGGATACGCGCAGGGCAAAGAACCGCGTGTAGATTCCGAAGCGGGTGGGATTGGGC